GTGATGGTGGCTTTTAATTCTATTTAGATATTATTTAATTTTATTACACGAACTGTATTGGACATAAGCCCATCGATACTACTCGGGTACAATTTATAGAAAAAACGATTTTTACTTCTATTGAGAGAGTACTAAATAGAGGCCTTCCTTATCAATTAAATAGATAATAAACTTAAGTCGAAATAGGTCAACTATAAATTCGCAAATACACTACAATTAAAGACGGAAGAATTACGTATTAATGCTCTCACAAACAAATGTATTCAAAAAAAAAAAGAATTGAGCAGTTATTGGCTATGGAGTGGAAGCAAACAAAAAGTAAATTAACAAAAAACGTACGTTTTGGGTTTGAAACAATTGCTGTTGCTTTATAGTTTTAGACCAGTTCCCAGTCATCATTATAATACTTTATTTCAATTTTACTTATAATGTGTCTTTCAATACCACGTTTTAATATTTGCAATATGTAGGAAATATCGATATTAAATATCTGATTGATCGTCGCTGGGTTCCGTTGGTTTTCCTTTTATGCTAAAAAAACAACAAAAAAAATCATTTTTTCCATTGATTTGAAGCGGTTTATTTCACCAACCCATTTCTTGCATAAATCAAAATCGAATGTCCGTTCAATATAACTAATGTCATAGCAAACATTGAAGGAAATAATTGAACACCTAAATCATTATAATCTAGTTCCGTATTCTTCGCTATTATATACATAGAAACCTGACTTCCCAACCAGAGATTTGCAATGATGACTTCAATGGTAATTGCCAGACGATCTTTTGGCTCAAATTTCAATCGTTGTGTTACGTATAGTGAACCACAATATATTATAAATGGCCATAGGAAACCAATGCAAAGCAACTGAAATTGAATATTTATTATGATTATCGAGACCAATTAAATTGAATTTGTATAAAATCAACCTCAACCGTAAACATTCTGTATACAAACAAATCGATGTGTGGCGCTAAATAAAGGATGGTAGCGATTAAAATTAAAACTGGTGACAAAACTATCTCCAAAACGTATTTAAAGTTGATTGTTAAACCGGGGATACAGCGCTTAGTTAAAAAACTAACACCAAATCCAACACATACAGGAAAAATTATAATCCAAACACTTGCTTTATAAAGTTCATAGATATCTTTTAATTCATCGTCAATAAAGCTAAAATCGCTGAAAATACGTTGCCCAGTCAAAAAGTATATGTGTCCAATACCTGACAAAATAATTGAAATCGACTGAAAAATATAAATAGAGATGCCTGAATTCAACTAACCAATGCTTAGCACAATGTTAATTATGCTCGTCAATGTAGTTAATTCCGTATTTCCTTTTAAAATCAATGTCCAGACAATAAAATGTCTCATGATCCAATTACCTACTATTCCATCAAAATATGTATCATATAAATATTGCTTTGCATCATAATCACGGAACAGAGAGAAGAATAACACCAAACTAGACTTGTTTTAAAAAAATCACAAAAAAATTGATTAAATTGTGTTTTAATTCAAATGGGACCAATTTTAGCTAGCTCACCGTGGCAAAAAGAGTTTCTGTAGATAATATGCAAGTGCGTCCAATTGGTTTTTTCAATACTTGTACCATGTTTTCGGAATCCAAAATACATCCCAAAACGAAAAATATAAGGAAATTAATAAATTGAGTTACTCTACTCGAGATTATTTCAAATGATCGCCGATACACATAAACTTCCAGTTTTTCCAGCGACTGTTCTTTCCTTTCTTCACGAATATAATCAATTTCGACATAGATTTTCGCTTTACCAAAAAAAATCGGGTTAAGTATGATTGGTCCTTCATAACTGTTGTTTTCAATTTCAAGCGCAGAAATTTGTTTTGATACTTTCACTACATCGGTGTTGCTGCTAACTAAATGAATAATTGCTCTGGATTCTATCAACGCCGTTTTATTTAGATTTCGGATTTGTAAATTCAAGTAGGTGACATCTTTATGCATCATAGGCAAACCGAAGAAGTCATCACTAATTCCGTAATCAACCGTCCACTCAATTTGTCCATCAACGCACGATAGTTGATTTGAGAGGAAAAATAGTGCTCCCAAGAAACACGTTATAATTTTTGAATCCTTCGACACGAATTTCATTTTAGTCGAAATTGAATGTGGTGACTAAAAAATAAAATTATATTATAAGCGAAGCACAGGTCTCAACAGAAAAAAATCAATTAAAACCTTTTACATCTAACAAATATCACATTTTTATAACAAAAAAATGAATGAGATTAGAAGTGTGATTAGCTTTGATAACATAATACAATATGATAACCAAGGGGAATGTCCAAGCACTTAGAGTATGTATGACATTTTGAAAACAGCGCACCATATCAGATCGCATGAATTAATGAACATGCTCTATGAACATTATGTGTTCTATATAACATGAGCTCTATTCGGGTACCTTATACAGTTGTTTACCGGATTTGAGGTGGAAAACATTATCTCGACAAGTATGTCTTCAAGTATGTCAAAATAAAAGTGAGCATTAGCACCAAACATCACAAATTTTGATGATATTGAAACAATTAAACAGTTTTTTTTTAATTCTGTATATTGTCATTTTATTGATAACAATAGGAAACATTTTGTGCAGTGTTACTAATCAAAAGTTATTTTTGATGGTGATTCATAGCCTTGGGTATTGAATTTTGCTGGGTTTCTGCTGTCCTTCGACATAAATCCAAATGCAATGTGCAGTCAATATCATGAATGTCATACCAAACATTGCCGGGTATAATTGATCAGCCAATTCATGGTCGCCCACTGGACTTCTCCATATAATAAAAGAAGAAATCCATTTACCGCACAAAAGATTTGCAATGATTACTTCAACTGTGATTGATCTTCGGTCTTTTGGTTCAAATTTCATCAGTCGTGTTATCAACAATGAGGCGCAATATATTAGGAATGGCCAGATGAAACCAATCAGAAGCGACTGAAATTGTATTTTAATTTTGATGATCAAGGCCAATAAAATTAAATAATTGTTTAAGATTAAATAAAATAAAATTGTAAATTGAAGCCAAAACTTACCTTAACCATAAACATTCTGTATACGTATAAGTCTAAACCGTCTGTTAGATGAACGCAGGTACTGACCACAATTAAAATTGGTGAAAAGACTACTTCCAACAAGAACTTGATGATATTGGTCAAATGTGAAATATGTTGCGTAATCAAATAACCAACACCAAAACCAACGCATAAAGGAACAAATATATAGAAAAAACTATCTTTGCATAATTCAGCGAAAACTTCCATTTCGGGTGGTGAATATTTGAGAAATAATAATAGTATGTTTCCAGCACCTGAAAATTGAAGGAAATTTAAAAGAGTTCCATTTGAGTTTTACTTGGCTCTAGCTCACCAATGCTCAACGCAATATTAATCACATTTGTCAACGAAGATAATTCCATATTTCCCTTCAAGATGACTGCCCAGACGAAATAATGTCGGATGATCACAATATTTGTTATTCCATCGAAGAATAGAATGAATAAAAATTGATTCAGACCAGAAGCTGGGAATAGAAACAAGTACAACGCCACACCGAACTTGTTTTGCAAAAAATATTTTAATAAAAAAAAATTATGTTTTAAATAAAATCATTTTAAATAGCATCAATTTAAACTTACCGTGGCGAATAGAAATTTCACGAATAATATGCACGCGGGTCCAATTGGTTTTCTCAAAATTTCTAGCAACTTTTTCGAATCTAAAACCATTCCCAGAATAAAAAACACAACGATATTTATAATATGTGAAATATATGGATTGAACAAGTGGAAGGATCGTCGATACACTTCAACGTATAAATATTTTTCTGAATATTCAGTTCTTCGGTCGCGAGTATAATCGATTTCGACGTAGATATAAGTATTTCCAATATAAGTTGGATTGAGTGTGATTTGGCCTTCATAACTGTTGTTTTCAATGTCATTTGCGGGAATTTCTTTTGATATTTTCACCACTTTAGTGTTGTTACTAACTAAACGAATAACTGCTGCGGATTTCACCAAAGCCGCTTTATCCAAATTTATGATTTTAAATGTTAGATCTTTTCGTTCTCCAACCTGCAATTGCATGCAAATATGGTTATCGTAATCAACTTTCCATTCGGTTTGATCGCTAACACCGGACGCTTGATTCGAGAACAAAATTATGATCCCCAACAAACACAACATAATCTTCGGCGTGGACACGGATACCATTTTTTGTTGACTTAGTAAAATATAATTGGAATAAGTTTGGAATTCAGTGCGGTGTTTTATAAAAATCAATATTGAATAAGTGAATCACAGATTCCAACTGAAATGATTCAGTCATAACTTTTATTTTATAAATACTTCTATTTTATATGTACTCAAGGACAACACAATTAACATTTTCATATCTTTGATTTATTTCTTTTTTTTTTTGTAATTAATGCTCAGATAACATTCTGCTATCAAGCCGTCGATGTATTAGTTGATTGGTCATTTGTGATGATAGCACGTATATTAGAGGAATTATAATAATTTGGTATTGAACAGATAAAAACTCTTATCAGTCATTAGTTGTCTCGGATTATACTTTCTTAAATCGTTCTTCATTTGTCGTTTTTTATATTATGTTTTTTTTCATATAATTTTTCACAGAATAGCAAATAATTGACTAACTGTCATTAGCAATGACTCATTATACTCCCACGGTGACGGAATTAAAATCAAAGAAATTCTTTTTTTCACATCACAATTTTATTTTTATTTTGAAAATAGAAATAATT